ACACACACACACACACACACACACACACACACACACTAAATAAATGTTAAAAAAAAATTAAAAAAAAAAAAGATAAAACAGTAACTATATAATGTCAGTTTTCTGACAGACAGTGGGTAAAGGGTAGAAGGGAGAAAGGCATGAGGCAGAGCAGTGTACATAGGACCAAAAAGGAGTAGTTTCCCATATATCTAGTTAAAAGTGTCTAAAGCATGCCTATGTGAAGCTATATTCTTTCTCCATGGAATGAAACTACTTTCTCTACCCTTTACCATTATTCCTATTCAGTCAAAACCAAGTAAGCTTACAAGGCTCAATTTAGGTGTCTCCAGTTCTCCTTATATAAAATCTCACAAATATATTACCTAAATGGAGATAAGCATTAGTGAAGTACTGCACAGAACATCAATGCTGCCACTGACAGTCTGCTTTATTAATGAAACATAGGCAAGAAGCTAATTATGATTCTGCTCTAAAGAATCTGAAGACTCCATATACACTCCAGCAAGTAAAAACTTCAAATTCACAGATCAATGCTAAAGTTGCCAGTTTCTGCCAAGTTGTTTTGGAATGTTTCCGAACACAAAGTTCTTATCAGATAATTTTCACTATCACCTTACTATTTATTAAAGTTAGACATGTTGAAAAGAACTTGGGTAGAAATTGTTGTTAGAATCATTTGACTTAAAAAATTCATAAAAACACTAATAATCATTTATTAAATGAAGAATAAAATGAATAATATTGTCAACTCCAACAAAAAAAGATGTGTGGATAATTTACCCAGTGTCATTTTCTAATTGTAAATACTGAAAATTTAACATTTCATCTTGTAATGTGTTTTAAAAATGGCTACAAAAACAATGCCTGATATCTAATACATAATCCATAATAATACCTAATCAAAAAATACAAGAATATTATGAAACTGCCAGGCATGGTGGTACACATCTGTAACCCCAGCCCTCGGGAGGCTGAGGCAAGAGGACCATCACAAGGTTGAGACCAGCCTGGGCTATAAAGTGAGCTAAAGGCCAGCCTGAACTGCACAGTGAGACCCTGTCTGAAAAAGAAAAAGAAAAAACAAAAACTATGAAACTTAAGTTTTGTAAGGCCGTGGATTCAATCAACCACTCACACTGTAAAAGCAATTTTAGTTTCTGACCTAAATACTCTATAAACAGCTTTACAAAGGAAGAGTACCTACCCTGAACCACACGGATAGAAGATGCAAGGGGAATGGATAAATTTTATTACTATGAACTTATTCCTAGGAAACAATTATGAACTTATGAAAACCAAGTTAATGAGTATTTTAACACCAAAGCCAGACACAGTGGTACTTGCATGTAATCTCACCACTCGGGGGGTTGAAGCAAGAGGACTGCCATGAGTTCAAGGCCAGCCTCAACTACAAAATGAGGTATTGTCTCCCCAACCAAAAAAGCACCAAAATATTGCTAAGTTAAATATCAACAGATTAAAGTATGGGATGCCCTCTAATGTATTTAAATGGATGGTATTCAAAAGAACATTATAAGCGCTTCCCTAGCAAGCACAAGGGTCTGAGTTCAATCCCCAGTTCCGCCAAAAAAAAAAAAAAAAAAAAAAAAAAAAAAAAAAAATGTCTAGCCTTTGGGGCCGGGGAGATGGCTCAGTGGAATAAGCGCTTCCCTGGCAAGCGCAAGGGCTTGAGTTCAATCCCCGGTTCAGCAAAAAAAAAAAAGAAACAAACAAACAAACAAACAAAAGAACATTAATATGAAAATAGGTGGTGAAACCAAATGGACAGAGTATTCCTAATTTTGTAAATTAGCCAGATATAATGACACACACCTGTAATCCAGGCATTCAAGAGGTTCAGGCAAGAAGATTGCTACAGGTTGAGGCCAGCCTTGGCTACACAGTGCTCAAGGTCACCCTAAACTATAGGGTGAGACCCTGTCTCAAGTAAGTAAGTAAATAAATAAGTAAATAAGTAAATAAAGGGGGCTGGAGAGATAGCTCAGTGGAATAAGTGCTTCCCTGACAAGCGCAAGCGCCTGAGTTCAATCCCTGGTTCTGCAAAAAATAAAAATAAATAATAAAATAAAACAAATAAATAAGAAATTAAATGATAAGGACAAAATAACATACCAAGCACACTAATATTTGGGATTTTCCATGTAAAAATTCTGAGTGAATTTTCCCCTTCCCAGTTCACCACATGTAAAAACAAACATACTCATCAAGAAAATGATATAATCTATTAAAAGAAAGGGTTATTCGGTATTTAGTCTAGCATCTAAGTATGCTTTCCCCACTCAATTAATTGACTAACTGCATAGCAAAAAGCCTTTACTGGGATGGAGATGGGGGCAGAATCAGGGCAAGCAGAATGGTCTACCACTAAATGGGCAGAAGTCCCGGGGATCTTGATACATGTATGCCATAGATGGTGAGTTAATGCTTATTGTGGACAAGAGGTACAGGGAGGCGAAAGTCCTGGCCTTTCTCCTGACACTGCTCGCAATCAATAGGATAGTTTACTCCATCTATGACCAGTTGTACCAGCTTCACCTCTGACTTCCACAGCCAGTCCAAGTTGGAGATGTCAAAGACAGGCAGCAGGGTCCGCTCCTCTGGTACCACACTTCTGGAGCCTCAGGTTCTCCAAGATCTTTGGGAATCAGCTGTCTTTGCTAAGGAGGAGTAGTTTGACGTGCACTCCTGCCTGGCCTGGAGTCCAGTGCCCCAGGTTAGACGGACAGGTCAAGACATATCCCTGACACTCATTCCACGTGAACTCCCAGCCACGCTCCTGGATCACCTGCTCCACTTCCTTGAGGCCCTGGCAGAATCTTTCAAACACTCTATTCATGTTGCTGCCCTTCTCCATGGAGATGACCCTCGTGTAATCCTCCTCATTCACCCAGATCAAGGAGCTCTTCTCATTGTGTCAGATTCTATGAGCACACAGAATGGCCAGTGTCGAGTCATTCCTGCTGCAGTCAGCAATGGGGACATGGGCTTATCAAACAGGAACTGGTCATCAATAAGCTGCTGCTGCTCAGCCTCCATCACCTCACTGGGCTTGTAGTGGTATCTAGCCAGGTCACCCTTCAGGCCACTCAGCGCATCCACCATGACACGTTCCACTTCTTGCTGCTCGGGCCAGGAGTATAATGGAGGCAGACTGGGTGCCCAGACACTCCGGACAGTTCTGACTCTTGAGGACAATACATACCGCTCACCAAAGAAACCAGGATGAATCTTACAGGCATCCAGGTCAGTGGTGTGCTTCATGGTCCATGGGTCCTATCCAATGTGTCGCTCTTGAATCAGGGTGAAATCAGGTCTCCTCGTCCCCGGGCACCATGCCCACAGTCTTGATGAAGGGGTGGGCCAGGCTGTCCACTCCAGTCTGGATGCACTGATCTAGCATCCAACCAGTGAGTGTGGTCTTGTCACAGAGCTGTGCATATACTGCTGAAGTCAGGTGATTGGCCATGCAGTTGTACTTTCGGGAGGTCTGGGTACTCAGGGCTTGGAGGATACAGTCTCTGGCACTGCTTGTGAGAGAATCACATAGGTTCCAGGTGGCATAGAAAGCCAGCAACCAGAGACTCAGCTCTGGCCAGAGCCCAGGGCAGGTAGATGGCAGACGGGAGAAGACACCTGCCATGGCTTCCCAGAGCAGGACCTGAAGCCAGATGATTACGGGATGGAGGATGCAATCAGAAGGACAGAGGGTCTGAGCTAGACCAAGGCTGTTCCTTGTACTGGGTGTAGGGCTGGGGTTAAGCAGGCTTCTTCCTTCTCTTATGTCTCCACTCCCCACTCAATTTAAAACCTCTTAAGTTTTTGGGTTTTTGTTTTGTTTTTTTTTTGAGACAGGGTCTCACTATGTATGTAGTTCAAACTGGCCTTGAACTTGCTACATAGCCCAGGCAAACCTCAAGCTCACGGCAATCTTCCTGCCTCAGCCACCAAGTGCTGGGATTATAGGTGTGCATCATCTCACCCAATAAAAAACTCCTATAAATTAACACTGATGTGACAGGTTTAAGATTTATATCCAACAGAGTTGTAAATAATTTTAAAACCAAGGAGAGAGTGCTTCTCCTTTTGGTGGCAGACTACTTGGAAATCCCTGAAGTGACAAGAAAATAGTGTTCTGCATGCAATTACAGTATGTATGAATGAATGAAAATTTCACTATCAATCTAAAGATTCTCTTTCATTATGTTAGCTTTAAATAGAGAACCCTTTGAACATTTTCTCATTGAAAAACTGAATTAATGTCATTATCTCATCTAGTTGCATTCACCAAGGGGTCTGACACAATCTACAATAACAATCCAGTCTGAATCTGAACTCACACAATACCCAATTGAGAACACATACATTCAGTGTTTGTCTATTAAGACCAATATAGTGTATTAATTAAATAAGAGCAAATGTTATTCACATTTACCTGCTGCTGTCCTTGCTGAGTCTGTGGGGTGGTCTGCTGATTTGCAGAATTAGTTGCTGCAGCAGCAGCAGCGGCTTGCTGCTGGAACAGACTTGCAGGATAGACTCCCCAAGGAGTAACTCCATAATACTGGTGAGGGACCACTGCTGGGCCTAAAAACAGAAAAAGAAAGAGAAGTTTAGACTAGGAAGACTCATCCCAAGGAGTGCCTAAGACTATATCTAATTCAACAGATATACAGTAAAATACTAACTTAAAGAACATACTGACTTATGCTAGTCATTCTTTTTCAAAAATAGAAAATATTACACAAGAGCCTCACACCAAAGTCTTTTCAATTTAGTAATATATTCCAGGTCTAGAGAAGAGACACTGACAAGATATCAGATATTGAAAGGAGAACAATTGTTAGAAGAAGCTAAAAGTTGTTACTCGATTTAGGAACAGATGGAGGAATCAGAAGTCAAGCTTTCCCCACGAGAAAAAATAATGCAGAATACATACAGATGTACTTTGTTGTTAGAAGGGAAATAAATGGAAGATCTGTGTTTTTAAAGTAATGGAAAAGAACAAAATTTCATTATATTCTGCTTTCAATGATATGAGTGGCACCTGAGGGCACTGATACACAGTAGGACCTAGGATGTCATTAGCTCCAGAAACATGAACTCTTCTCACTCTTTTGACAATAAAACCTAGACACTCAAGTGAACCTTTACATAACTCCAAAAAGGCTTGTTTTTCCTATTGCTATTTTTTAAGGTCACAAAAGTGACTCAAAACAAAGCCACTCTGCCATTGATACAGGAATTTTAAATGTAAGTCAAAGTTAAACACACACACACACACACACACACACACACACACACACACACCCATAGACTGTGACTTTACAGACTGGCTAAACACTCTTTAAAAAAAACTTAAGCATCCTGCTAGAATCTAAATGATATCTTCACCTTCTCCAAAATAAGCTACAGTCTCAACCACACAGGGCAAGCAGTAAAGCCATAGTAAATTTGTATAAATAACAAACTTCAGTGGGGCAGAACCCTAATCCTTAGAATTTTCTGATGAAGCTGATGACTAGAAACATCAGGGATGCACAGTGCCAAACAAGGCTCAAAAATGATACTGAAGGGACTGGGAGATAGCTCAGAGGAATAAGTGCTTGCCTGGCAAGTGCAAGGTCCTGAGTTTGATCCCTGGTACCACCAAAAAAAAAAAAAAAAAAAAAAAGATACTGAAATCTGCTGAAACACACCTCCAACTGGAACTTTATTAAACTAGGGTCAAACATTTCACTTCGAATCATAAATAATATCCAATCCTTACATTGGCATTCCAAACAGCTGTGTCAAGGACTATACCTATCTTGACACAGTTGCTAACTCTGAAAAAATAAATAATACATTATGTCAAAAGAAACCGGAACATGTAGTTTCTTCAATTAAGCTTCTAAAGCATAGACTGTCGGCCTGTATAACTCACTGTCCAATAATCTACTCTAATATTTCTAACTTGGTATTTTCTATACCTGTAGGCTTAGCAAAAACCAAGAAATTCTATTTACAACCAAGTTGCCCACCACTGTTAACACTATACCTGAGTACACAATGAAGATGCTCTTTAGTAAAGCTATGTTATGACATGAACTATTAGAATAAGCAAACAGATTAAAGTATTTTTATCTTGTAAAGACCTTAGTAGTTCAAACCCCTTAGCTCAAAACTAAAGACAATGGTGGATCTTTAAACTCATCTGACTACAATTCACATCCTAGTCAGTCAAAGGAAACAGAAAAAAAGCAAAGATTCTACCTTAGTGCCTTAGTTCCCTCACTTAGCTATAATAGGTACTAAAGGTTTGGCCATATTTACCCTAAAAGGATGGAAGAAAACTTACAATTACTACTGGGCAGGATCTCCTAGTGTCATAAACATTTCCATTATGCTTTAAATGTCCTCAACTGGCACTTCTACTATTGCATCCTGGTAATGTGACCTAATAATGAATTTAGAATATCCCATGCTGGCTCATGAAAATGCCTGCTTCAGTTTCTATGTGACTAACATATAATTAATCGCAGGTCGAACAGTTACTATTTCCTATTATTTCTAAAAGTCATATTCAGTTTGGTTCATTTCCTGAGCACAAATAAGACCTTCAATACCTATCATCCCATTGATCCCAAGTATGTCATTCTTACAAATAGTTCCTTGTTTCAAGTAGCATATACATTAAAACAGCAATGGAAAGAGGAAGGAATAGGAAAGCAGAGGGGAAGGAAAAGGAGGAAGGGGAGGAAAAGAAACAAATGAAAAGGAAAGTAACTGGGGGAAGAAAGGAAAGAAGGAGGAGGAAAAACTGGAGGAAGAGGATGAAGGAGGGAGAGAGAAGGGGGGCTGGAAGTGGTGGTGCAAGCCTATAATCCCAGCACTCACAAGGCTGAGGCAGTGGTTTGTTGTGAGTTGGAGGCCAGCCTAGGCTACATTGTTTTGAGACTGTCTCAAAAACAATCCCATTCTACAACACTTAAATTGCATAATCTCACAAGCCAGTTCTCTGTACCATAAACATGAAATATAACCATCTGACAATCAGATGAAACAAAAGCGCTTGGGACAATGCCTGGCATATAGTTAAATATTCAGGAAATGTTCATGATGACTAGCGAGGAACATTCTTCCATAACAGTATTCTATTTTTGCCAAAAGTAGAGCAGAAACTATATATGTTCTCACTACAACCAGGATAACAACTCTTTAAAATAGCTATGACACAGCTGACGATGGTGGTACAAACCTATAATCCCAGTACTCTGAGAGGCTCAGGCCAGAGAGTCAAAAGTTCAGGCCTAATCAAGCATGGTGATACACATCTGTAATCCCAGCACTTGAGAAGCTGAGGCAGAATCGCTGTGAGTTCAATACCAGCCTGGGCTACAAAGTGAGCTCAAGGTCAGCCTGAACTGCATAGCAAGACCCTGTCTCAAAAAAGATGAAAAAGTTCAAGCCTACCTTGGGCAATTTAGTGAGACCCTGCCTCAAAAGTTTACAGAGGGGCTGGGGATGCAGCTCTGTGGAAGGTTTCTGGGCTCAAACTTCAGCATCACAAAACAAAACAAAATAAAGCAGGGGCCGGGGAGATAGCTCAGTGGAATAAGCACTTGCCTGGCAAGCGCAAGGACCTGAGTTCAATCCCTGGTTCCGCCAAAAAATAAAATAAAATAAAATTAATTAATTAAAAAGCAGCTTCATTTAAAAAATAAAGCAAAACACAACACAAAAACTAAGAAGTAGTATGCTGCACAGTGTTCATGACTTCATAATTGCTAACTACATTATCTGCTAGAAAAAAAATCTCACATTATAATAATACTTAGTCACAATTAACACAACTTAAAAGAGATGTGCCTTAAAGAATGTTTATTTTGGAAGACAGTCCTAATGCTGAAGTCAGTCCAGCATTTACAGCACCCCTGAGGTGACAGCAAATGTAACATAGAATCAAATAGGAAAGTTTTCAAGAGAAGTACTTAGGAAGATTTCAAGGGAATAAAACTTATAAATATACCCAAAAACAAAGTAAAACAATACAGAATCAATGACAGAGAAATAACAGAGTAGCAACCAAGGAAGGCTTTCTAAAGCTAATTATGCCACCCAAGAAGCGTCCCAGAAAAAAACTGGGAAAAATAAACTTAATACAAAGGACCATGGAGACCAGTGTCCATAGACAAAGCCCTAAACCAGTTATAGCACCTGTAGCAAGAGGAAATCACCTTAGTGTTTCTACCATGTATGGAGTCAGCAAATGGTATCCAAACGGGAAGAGTGTGACTCAGGTTCAGATGTTCACATACAAGTCAGGCAGAAAGTCCCATAAACAGCAGGTCTCAACCCTAGCTAAGTTTCAGCATTATGTGATAGTTGCTTAAAAATACTAATCCCAAGGAACCACCACCATGCAAGCAGGTTGTAATGATCCAACTAGCACATCACATTAGGGTGGGAAAAATCATTAAGGTTTAGGCAGAAGGGTGAATGGACCATAGATTTTTGTTTTAAAAACTATTTCTTGCATCAATACAGGGGGTGGAAGAAGGGAAAGAGGCAAGAAAATTAGGAATCTGCAAAAGAACCAGTATTAGGAATTAAAGTATTGTACATGGTAGTATGAAGAGACATGGCTAAGGATAGAAATTGCTGAACTATAAGTAATTAACTGATGGTTTCATGGATCCAAAATACCTATAAAAGGGGAGAGTAATTTGCTTTTGGATACAGAAGTCAAAGGGGCCCATGTTGTAACTCAGTATAAATGTTCAGCTTACAGACGGGTAGCACTGAAAATAAGAGACATTTCCATTAGAGACATGGATTTGGAGGAATAATGCCTGCCTATCTCAAATGAATTTCCAGCCAGTGAGAAAATCCCTCAGGCAGAATATCTTACCTAGCGTCGCTGCAGCAGCCAATCCAGCTGTGTAAGGGTCCGTCCCTGGGGGAGCAGCACTGATGATATACGGATTGGGGACAAATGCAGCAGGAGCTAAACCTGCTGAAAACATACCTGTCAGTAAAAAAAAAAACCTGACCACAACTGTAGCCCTTCCAAATACCTGTACATTTGGCTAGCAATTCAGCCTGTATGTGAGTGACAAAGAAAATGAAAAAACAGAATGGATAGTTTTAAAAATTGTGATGAAATTTAGCTAGTGTGTTTTACTAACCTTTACTAAAGAAATATGTAATACTTTATACGGTTTTAATTTCAGCATATTTGTTGAAAGTTATAATTATTTTAGGGGGGTGCCTCAGGCCTGGGAATCAAATCCAGGGCTTTATGCATGCAAGGCAAGCACTCCTCATATGAGTTACTTCTCAGATCTTAAATTAGCTTTAATTATTAAAACAGAATAAAGGACTTTTTAAAAAATGGACAAAGAGGGTGCCGGGGAGATGGCTCAGTAGAATAAGTGCTTCCCTGGCAAGCACAAGCGCCTGAGTTCAATCCCCGCTTCCGCAAAAAAAAAAAAAAAAAAAAAAAAAAAAACCCAAATAAAAATGGACAGAGGGAGATTTATTTCCATTTAAAAGGAATTTCCAAATGTTTGTGAAGGCTACCATCTACAATTATACAATAGCAGGTCTAGCAAAGGCCTTCACAATAATAAAGTCGGGCTTTAACTTAATCTAAGTTTTCTTCTGCAGCATACCTTATCTAAGACTGAAGATCTGTTTTTTGTCAACTGTGCCATTTGGCACTCACAGATAAAATCTGTGCCCCTATTTGTTTGCACTTATGCCATTATTCACTGCCACTACTTGTTACTTAGTAGGGAGAAAAACTGATATAATCAGCCCATGCAACACCCATATATTTAATTAACACTGTCCAAACCTTATCAAAAGAGACAATGCTGGGCCAGGGATATAGCTCAGCAGTACACCACCTGCTTGGCAAGTGCAAGGGCCTGAGTTCAATTCCCAGTTTAAAAAAAAAAAAAATAGCTAATGCTAATCACTATTCACTTTTGTAATAAATAGTTTAAGTCCTTAAATAGGTGAGACAGAGCAAGAGCTGGGCACTAGGGAAATCCAGTATGTCAAAAATAAAGCAGTTACAAATAGAAGAGGCCATTTAGCGCCGGGGAGATGGCTCAGAGGAATAAGTGCTTCCCTGGCAAGTGCAAGGGCCTGAGTTCAATCCCCGGTTCCGCCAAAAAAAAAAAAAAAAAAAGAGGCCACTTACACTGTCTGAGGGATCTGTCTGAAGTTTTTTAATCAGTCTAAACTATTAGGTTTCACAGCATACATTTTATCCTAAAGAGGTGGTTTGCCTATTATAAGAGACTATCAGTGTAAGTACTTACCAATATGAGGCTGATGTGCAGCTGCTAGGGCGTACTGCTGCTGCTGAGCAGCTGTCAACTGCTGGACAGCAAGTGCATTAGGTCTTTGGAACAGCTGAGGTAAGAGAAAGATGTGTGGTTAGTGAAACTGTCCTCTAAAACAATCTAAAAATCTCTTTAGAAACTTCAATGAATCCTGGTGAGGCATAAGACATAAACAAAAACACGTCTGGCCCTGCAAAACTTTTAATGGTCATCAGCAAGTCTACAGGGCCTGCCTGATTTAAAGCACATTTAAAAGCTGGACAGCAGGCCTGATGGTGTACCCCTGTAATCCCAGCACTCCAGAGGCTAAGGCAAGTTTAAGTCTTGTCTGAAGTTTGTGGGGACAGGCATGGTGGTACACGCCTGTAATCCTGTAATCCCAGCACTCTGGGAGAATAGGGCAAAAAGATCACTGTGTGCTTGAAGCCAGCCTGGGCTACCCAGTGCATTCAAGACTAGCCTAAATTGCATAGTGAAACTCTGTCTCAAAAAGAAGGGAGAAGTAGGAGGAAGGAAAGAAAGGAGAAGAGAGAAGAGGGGGGATAAGAGAAGGGGATGAAAGAAGAAAGAAAGAAAAGAAATTTAAAGAGCTTGAAACCATCTCAAATAATGACAGTTGATAACAGCTTAACATGAAAGCCCTGGGTTCATACCCTAGAATCTCCCCACCACTCCAAAGAAAAGCTAAATTAATCACTAACCACACTGCTCCTAGTACTATCCTCTCCCTTTAGCTCTTTTGAATCAATACATTTGACTTAAACCTCAGGTAATTTGAATTAAGTCTCAGAATTAATCCTAAAATACACTCATTTTAGAGCTTATGAAAGGGTTTATTTACATTATTCTCTGGGCTAATTCTTCCTAGAAAATGGCACTCGATACTTACTAGTGGCTTACCCTAAAGACATCCACCCAAATTTTGGGGACCCCCAGTCTCCTAGGACACCTATTCTTTACATGTAGAGGAAAAAAACAACAAAAAGTATGGGTGCTACTAGCAAAACTTGGATTATTAACTCATACCTAGCACAATTCTTAGTTTACAAAGTCAAGAAGTTCAAAGGCTTTAACACTTAAAAAAATGCTTCTATCTTGATACACTAGCACTCATTCACACAAATATTTGTGCAGCAAATAACTGCTGTTAGGCACTGTGCAAGTAAGGGACACAATAGTATATAAAACCATCCATAACGCCTGTGGAACTTAACACCAGTATAAACAGTACTGGTATAATGAAAAAGGGTGCTTGTAACCTTATTTTAGAGCATCCCAACAGGCCTCCTTCAAAGGAGTCATACTGAAGATTTTATCAACAATAAAAATATTTCTGAAGGGACTTGTATGAATAGGACATCTGGCCTACCTGCTCTTTCTAGATTTGTGAACAATTCAGCTGATTTTGTTATTTCTGACATCACAGGATGATACAACAGATATAAATGAAAGTTATATTCATTAAGAAACTTGATTGTCTCAGAAATTAAGAGACAATGCTATTCCCCTAACTTCAGTTAGTAATTGTCACAACTAAACTTACGTTATCTTCAGCAATGAAGAAATTAAGTACTTAAAGACTTGGGGGCCAAGGAGATACATAGCTCAATAGAATAAGCACTTGTCTGGCAAGCGCAAGGACCTGAGTTCAACCCCAGTTCCACCAAAAAAACAAAGCCTTAAAGACTTAGATACATCTATGTCTCAAATATATGAGTAAACTGATTTTAAATAAAAACAGGGCTGGCCAGATAGCTCAGCGGACTAAAGCACCTACTTTGGCTACAGTTTAGCAGCCTGGATTCAATCTAACTAGTGAGGCCCCGTACACCCTGTACACCCTATACACCCTGTCCTAAATTCATTAAAGGAAGGAAGGAAGGAAGGAAGGAAGGTAGGTAGGTAGGTAGGTAGGCAGGCAGGCAGGCAGGCAGGCAGGCAGGCAGGCAGGCAGGCAGACAGACAGACAGCAAAAGTTGAGTATTTTCAGTGTACTGGCCAACGTCACATTAGCTCTCTGTACACATTTATCTTTTAAAAGTAAATAAATAAAATCAATGTTTGCTTTTTATAGTGCAAATGTCAACAGTAATCATGTACAGTTATCAAAAATACATGAGGTTGTTTACCTGAAGTCAAACTAAAGTAAAATTTTACTGTAACACTATAAAAGGGAAAGGCTTCTTTACAGGCATCCATTAAATAGTCATGAAAAGATAGAGAGGAAAGGGCCAGGCAGATAGCTCAGCAGACTAAAGAGCCTGTGCAGGCAGAGCACAGCAGCTGAGGTTCGATCCCCACTGTGCCATGCCAGCCCCGCCCCAGGATACACTGAGACTGTGACTGAGACTGGGTATGGTGGTATGCACCTATAATCCCAGCGCTTGGGAGGCTAAAAACAAGAGGACCACTACAAGTCCAATTTACGTAGTGAGACCCTGTAGACCCTGTACTAAATACATAAAAATAAAAAGATACAGAGGAATCAAATTATTGACAAACATATCAAAAGCCTTGTCCACTACAAGGAGAAAGTCAAAATTTAGTCAATGATTTTGTTATTTCTGCAAAAATAAACTCTTCATAGTTCCACTAAATATTTACGGTCTCTTAAGTGAATCTCTGAAATTCTTCTGGCCTAAAACTATTTGAAGCGTTTACCAACTCAAGACAACTCTTGCTGGCTTCTTTCCGCACTGCTTTAGCCCCACTGTTAACAAAATGACTCACTTCACTGAACATTTGAATTATTGCTAGGGAAATACTGTAACATGGAGTTTAGGAAGAACAAAACTATGGAATGTGCAAAATATGACTGTTGAGTTCATCCTGACTTATTAATAGTCCAATATTATTCTGACCATTCTCATTTTCACTATTAGAACTAATATATTATCTGTAAATATATACGGAAATGTCTGGTTACTATAAAATTAATCCTTCAATATAATATATATTTGTTCTTACCACACTGTGAAGTTTTAGAATATCTTTAAGAGCATTATAGTCATACCAGAGCTCCAATGTACCCTGTGACTGAGAGCTGATTAATATGGGGAATTATTACTTTGACAATACTCTGCTGTCAATTAACAAAAGCAAATTATGTATCCACAGCTGGCAGACTTGATTATAGAATAGATTACATCAATTTTGGCATATTTTCTTTATATAAATGGCGCAATATTAACTGGGAATATGGAGTATTCAAAACAAAACTGAGTAATTGGCAAGTAACAGATTCCAAAGAATCTTGAAAAACTCACAGAAATGCCATCTGCTGGCAAGACACAGTTCTTGTTAACATTTTCGTAATTTTCACAAAGCGGGCCAACACTGCCAACTGAGAAACAAAATACTTGACAAACTGGGGGAAATACTTATTAAAGGTTGGTATAGTGATCAATGTGCCAACACTGGTTTACAACTAATTCGGGTAAAATTCATAAGCCAATAAGGAAAAGTTTTAATGTAGGAAAGGGATCAATCACTTCAGGCAAACCAAGGTGTTCCTGATAAAATATTAAAGCACAATTTGGAAATCTGAGAAGCTGGTTTAACTCCAGTCTCTCTCACTACATGACCTTGCAAAAGATATCCACAGTGCTATTATTCCACTAGGGAATCTGAACAGCCAAAAGTACCCAACACTGAAGTGACCTGCAGGTGACATCATGGAAAAAGTAGCTACTATTAGAATTATAAGACAGTTGTTACTATTATCACTGTTTTCATTAACTACTGTTAGCACAAAAAAAGTCACTGAATTTTCTGAATCTAACTGAAAGATGTCCAAATAGTGAGGAAGTGTATTAAGATTATACTCACTCATTCTCCAAATTAAAATGCAATGCCAGCCCTGTCTTTTTACCAGTTTAAGGTAAAATACTTAGTGAATACAGATCAAGACAGAAAATTGGGTCAGACAGCTTTGGTTCCTATCTCCATTCCATTATGAACTTATTCTGTGACCTTGGGCAAGTGACTTCATGTCTCTATGCCTTACACAACTATCTAGCTCATAAGATTGTGAAGATTGGGGCTGGAGAGATGGCTCAGTGGTCTGGAGCACCTACTTAGAACAAGCTTAGCAAAGCATCAGGGACCGCGGTTCGATCCCCCAGCGCCACATGCCAGCCAGCCCCGCCCCCTGGTGGGCTGAGCTGGCCACACACACACACCTCTCTCTCTCTCTCTCTCTCTCTCAAATAAATAAATAAATAAAAAAAAGATTGTGAAGATTAAAATTAACACACATGAAGCACTTAAAACAGTCCTTTCTGTCCCTGATGAATGAACAGAGAGCCCCAAGTAGATACCGCCTCAGCTTATCCCACAGCCAGGCAAGGCAGCCCAAGACACCAAAGCCTGCACTGCAAACCAAAACCTCACTGCATCACAAGCACTAACTGCTGTCAGTGGGCCCTAAAAGTAACATAGAAGGAAGAATATCATTTTTTGTTATTCTCACTAAGGAGTGCTTTTTACATCTCACTCCTTTCAGGAAAAGATCTGAATAAAGCTATATTTTTAGGTGGGACAACTTCACCTATCAAAAGGTTCTATCCTCAGTATAAGACCCAAAGAAAGCAGCCTGGAGCTAGAAATGGGAGAAAAAAGTTTCTGGATAGTTTGTTCAAGATGAGCATCAGCATGTTATCTATAAAAGCATAATGGGTCCCCTACCTCTTGGAATTGTCAGGATTCACCTAGAAAAGCCAATTTCAAACTATTCTATAAATGATAGGACTATAAAATTTTAACAAGGGGGCTGGGGAGATAGCTCAGTAGAATAAGCACCTGCCTGACAAGCAGAGGATCCTGAGTTCAATCCCCAGTACCACAAAAAATAAAATAAAATTTTAACAAAAAGGTATCTTGGGAGTCCTTCCTTATTGGGTCAAATTTGTAAACGCTACTGTTTGGGGCTTCTGGATCAAAGACCAATTTAAAAAAAAAAAAAGTATTTAGTAGAGGGTCTACAAGGTCTCACTACATAGATCAGACTTGTAGAGATCCTCCTATTCTCAGCCTCCCAAACACTGGGATCACAGGTGCGTGCCACCATGC